ATCTTTCAAAAAAGAACGAAAAATCCTAAAATCTTATGAGGAAAAAAAAATTTTTTTTTTTTAAATGGCGGGAAAATTTATCAAATTTCTTTCCGGTTTTTTGGTTTTCCGGTTTTCTGATTTCCGGATAANAATTTCGTTCCGGTTTTTTGGTTTTCTGATTTCCGGATAACGGGTTCTGTACTGTAGTACAAAAGAAATCGAAAAAACCTTTCTATTTATGAAAATAATGAAACTTTTACTCAAATAATAAAAATGAACTTTGTCTTGGAATGATTTTTTTTTCCAACGATGAGTCTATTATTAACAATGAAACACATTTTAAACCAAATGAAAAGCATTTTTTATCATTAGCCACTGCTAAGAACTAACACTTTCACTATATCTTTGAAAGATACTTAATAAAATTCATTTCAATGATGTATCTGGTTTTTTTTATTTTTTATTCCAGAATAAATCACTTCAAAAAACTTACCTTCAAAAGTTTGCAATTTTAAAATAAGACTGCAAAAAAATGCAAGTCTTGAATTATTAGTTTTTAAAATATAATATGTTTATTACCTTCGCAAATTTAATTTTTAAGGGAACAATAAATTTATCAATCTAAGTCTTTTAACTCTGGAAAGTTTTACTTAATCACTCTAATTGATAATCACATCCCATAGTATTCATTTGACTTATAGGATAGCTCAATCAATTGCAATTCTTTTAGTCAATCAATTGCAATCAATTTTTCTTTCCTTTAATAAACCTTGAAAGTACATATGAAAAAATACTTTTTTTTTTCAGAAACACTATAAAAAATACTAAGTTCAAACCATGCACAATTGATGCGTTTTAACAATACTTTTCTGCCAGTACTAAGACAATTCTACTTCTATTGGATATTACAAGATAGTTTTTCTCTTAAAAAATATATATGAATTTAGTGTTTCTCTAAAAACAAATTCTTTCAAAAATATCTGCAATATCTGAAGAAAAAAAATACAGTAACAGTTGATGCAATGCAGGGGTCTGTCCAGGCCGAATTTACTACCATTTAGCGGTACCTTCACAATTTCAACTTTAGGAAAAACGGTAGTTTCACAAAATACTTTTTCTTAAAATTTTATTTTTGTATCCCTTAAGAAACAATAAATCCATATTTTTACCATATTTTTGTGTTGATCTTTTAATGTAATTTTTAATTATTCATAAATTATGTCTAAATTTTCACAAAATAGGTACCTCTCAGAAAAACCTAGACAGACCCCTGCAATGAGTATGTATACAAATAAGTCTGCTATCATTATAAGACACATATTCACCTATTAAAGATATAAAAAGTGTGTGTTTACAACAGGCTGAAAACTATTAACCTCCTGCTATTGTGACAATTTCTTTTAGGGAAATATATTTTTCTACTCCTTAAGTGAACAATATTACATAAAAAATGGGTAGAATGAAAGAAAATGTTATTCATTTATGTTAGCAATACAGAAAAGATCAAAATGAACAATAATTCATCCTAATAGTTAATCTTTTACATTTATAAAGTTATGTGTGCCAAACCCAGGGATGAGATTGGCGAAAAGGCAAAAAAGCTGAATTTTCAAGTGAGTAAATCTTATGTGATTTAAAGCAAAAATATCAATAACATATTCTTATCCAGTTTTGCTGATGTGGTAATGCCTATACATAGCAATAATCGTCGATAGAAATACTGCCACATTTCTAGTAACTAAATCAAGAAAAAAAACTTACTTTTTACAAAAATTGCGATAACGGATTTTAAAAGCGCGTGAATACAAATAGCGATCTTGGATTTTAAAATAGCGCAAATATAAATCACGATATTGAAATCACGTGAATGAAATTCGATATTGGATTTCAAAAATGTGAAAATACAAATCATGATGCGTAATTTTCAGATCGCATAAATACAAATTAAAATGCATAAATTTTAAATGGCGTAAATACGAATTCAAAGCCTAATTTTTAAATCACGTGTAAATATGAAAATAGATGTTGGATATTACAACCGCAAAAACAAATCACGACTTTGGATAAACTCGCATGAATACAAATAGAATTTTAAAAACACCTAAATACAAATCGCGATATTCGATTTTTAAATCTCGTAAATAAGAATTGCAATGAACAATATTGAAATAGTGTGAATAAGAATCGCAACATGCAACTTTTAAATCAGGTAAATACAAAAATTGATGTTTGATATTAAAATGCAACGACGTCTGGATTATGAAAATACGAGCTATCTGGCGGACGGGTAAAAATGAGGAAAATCTTACGTTCTGCTCGTAAAAGCTAATAGCTAGAATAAGTAGATATGCGGAAGAGTTGGCAGCTACGTAGTTTGAATTTTCTATATATATCTTTCGATATATTATATATATATATATATCAAATCGTAAATAAATATAATTATTTTATTTCAACCGCTGAATTTTCAAGAAAAGCGGAATATTTATAAAAAAAACTCAAACTTTAAGAAAGTCAGAGTTTTTGATAAAAAGGCTGAAATTCGAGAGACAATATATATATATATATTCGTATATACATATAAATAAATTGTATTGAATTATCTTTTTTCAATAATGAGCTTCCAAGATTTTAGAATTTGATAACATGAACCTTTTTATCTGACATGTTTTATACATAGTTTTTACTTTATTTATATGAGGGATTCCATGCTAAAATAAAATTCACAAGACTTATTATAATTATAAACGGAATTGCAGGGTTAATCATTTTTACACCTTTGATAGAGTCTTCTAGACAAAAAAGTTGAAAGAGAAAAAAAGTTCTTGGAAAAAAATTAGAGGGTCTGGAAGTAGACCTAAAAATAACTACTTGCCACGGGGCAAGTCAACAAATAAAAGTGGCTACTTAAACTAAATAAACAACCGGTCACTTTTTCTCATTTCTTTCTTCTTTTTTTAAATTTCTCTTACCATGCATTTGAATTTTCTAGCACGGTGATGTCAAGTCAGTTTGTTTAACAAAATTTTGTCACACATTTATATTATTTTTATTGAGTTAATTTTTTACAGCTGTAGATTATTTCTAATAAGAATTTCATTTTAAAAATATTAAGTCAAGTAAAAAATAAAAAAGCAAAAATTAGCTATTAAATTAATAGGACCTATCAGTACTGGTCACCAACTCACTGGGTTTAAAGAAAAAATGGCTACTAAGTTATCAGAGTCTACCGGCCACTGGCTACTAACTGAAAATTTAAATTTTCAAGTTTATGTGGAAGATATTATAATTATAATGCAGATTCACAAGGTTTTATATATTCAGAGAAAATATGTGTTTCTGTCTGATTTCGTAACTTAATTAATAGGTAGCACTAATTAATTTGCATATAAGATTTACACTTAGTTAATGAAAATCCAATAATTAAAAAGCAAGTTTTTCTGGGGGGGTTTTCTATACTTGATACTCAAGGTAGTCAAATGTTTGCCTATAATTTACTGAATGCAATGCCAAATTTAGTCAATATAAAAATATAGCATGATTTTAAATATATATATATCTTTACTAACCACTTCTAACTATGCTGACACCACAGTTTCCTTTCAAATATTTCAAACCTTCATAAGTTCCACCTAAGAAAAAGTAAAAAAAAGTAATTTGCAATTTTAAGTACACATAAGCAGATATGCATAATATACACAAAGTTGTGAATGCCATTTGTGGAAAATTTTTTACTATTGTGAAAAATTTCGTAGTATTATTATTTTTAAACAAGTAATATACAGGGTATCTGCTACATTTTAGATTTTCAAATTCATGAATTTTCCATGACTAATTCCAAGAATTTTTCATGACCGAAGTTACTATCTTCTCCGACAAAAACACAACAATAAATTTAAAAAGGCATTATAACAACATCAATTGAAATGATAGGTATAAGCAAAACTGTTATACTCTGCATCTTCTTATTTACAGATTTTAAATTGATAAAATAAAAAATAAAAATAATAATAACAAAAATTCTGAAATCACAGAAGTTTATAAGATAATTCACTCTAGAAATGATGTTTTTTCGTTCATTTTTTGAAAGAACACCATAATTTTTAAAGAACATGTTAAAAACATTTTATATTTTAATGAAATATGACTGTGAGAGGGGATTTTGTTACAAATTAAGATATACGGAACACCATGAAATTTGGGGATTCCATTTTAAAAATTAGATTTTTCGACAACCTAAATCCATGACTTTCCAAGATTTTTTTTAAAAAATAGTTAAAATTATAACATTTCATGACAATTAATAGAAATTTTTTTTTGTTTGCTTTCAATATTTTTAAACATGATTAAAAGAAACAAAATAAATTGTATTCAAAGGAAATCTTAATAATATTTAAAAAATCTTAAAAGTAATATTTTAATTTTTAACTGTTTTTTAATTGTGATAAACTTTCTCCAAATTGTTAAAAATTGTCAGCAGATGTTAAGAGTTAACTTAAAAAAAAGATCCATTTTTTCCCTTATTATTATTATCATACAACAGATTCAAAGTGTCTACATTTCTCTCTTAGATGGTGATACACTTTTACGAGTTTTGTAGCTTTATCTATTCCTAATCTATTTCGAAGTTTACTCTGCACCAAACCGAAAGTTGAAAAGTGTCTTTCGATAGAGACAGAGGATGCTGGTGCTGAGTGCAAAGAAAAAAGAATTGACAGAAATTTTGTGGAAGCTAGGAATTTTATTTATTTACTTATTTATTTATTTTTTTTGCCATAATTTTCCACTATTTTTTGATGAAAACTGTTCAATAACAGTGTCAAGCATCATTGATTTTGGAAAGTATTCAGGATCGGAAATTTTGGATGCCATAACACGTGGCAGAAATTCTGGATGATGCTTAGAAAGACAGCTTTCTGCTAATTGGTCTTGTTCATCATTTAAAAATTGTCCCCTTGTTTCGGGATCCAGGATGCATATGCTAATAAATGATGTGGCTGAACAGCCTGATTGAATCTTTTTACAAAATGTGTATGGGGTTCTAATTCATCACACGATAGTAAGTTAATTCATATTTCAACAGCTTCTGAAATTGAAATGTTTTCTGATTGAAGCTTTTTTAAAGCTTAAGAAACAATTGATATCTGTTTTTCCCAATTGATAGTTTATTGGTAAAGCCCAACATTATTTAATATTTTTGACATATTATTATTAGATTCATTTTGATGTTCAAGAACAATCTCTTCATATTTATGGTAATTATTGGCAAAAGTTTTTACGTGCTCACAATATGAATTCCACCTAGTATCATTGGGTCATCAAGCAGTTTTTTTCATTTGCCCATCCATGTGCTTGATGCACATTTCTAAAATATTTGTTAACTTCAACGATGTGTCCAATGATAGTATTAGGAGATACTTCTTTTTGAACCAAATTTAAAAAAAAAAAAAATTTGTGAAAAAAACCACCAAGTGGGTTTTTTCAAAGTGGGCCCACTTGGGGAACCCTGGTTATATGTATTTTATATTAAGTTTAAATAACGCATTATCACTAATACATATTTGAATCTTCTTTATTTTTAAGTACATTACGTTTCATAATTTTTTAACTCAAGAATTATAAAATATAAATGCAGTAATATAAAAGGAACAAGTTTATTAATCTTTTTGTTTTCACACACATTTATTTACTATATTTATTAAACATATGGATATTACCCATTATAAAATTATAATCTGTAAATATTTATAATCAGTAAAAACTAAAATTTCATCTGACTTGAGTTAAATAAAAAACTGAAATAAATATTTAATGGTCTTACATGTTTCTATAATAAGATTAATAGAAAGTGAAATTAAAACTACGTATAATTATAAAGAGTATCAGTTACTTGTCCCATTTGTTTTCAAATAATTAACCCTAGAAAAGGATTTCATTTTTAGATAAATAATTTTAAAAAGTTCTCCTATAAAAAGTTTTAGCTTTTTTTTTTCTTAAGCTAGAAAATAAAACTGTTTAAATTTGTTAATGTATCACTTGGTAAAAAAAAAAAAAAATTGTTTCTTTTCAATTTTTTTAAACATATGAATTAATAATAATAAACTGTTTATTAATATATAAAGCATGCAACTATATTTGAAAAATTGATCTTTTGAGACCATATTATTTAAATTTGTATTTGATTTAATATTATTAAAATATTACTTTTTGAAAAAACCCACTTAAAGTTTTCAATAGTACCTACTATAAAATTATATGAATATTCGAGTTTCTTTTACTTTACTAATATTAAAAACTTAATCATATAAATCATGCAACTCTATTTGACAAATTTATGCTGCACAATAAATTATATAAAAGTAAATGTGAAACAATAAGTTTTAGTAAAAAAAAAAATGTTTTTTTGAAAAAAACCACTTATTGTTCCAAGTGGGTTTTTTCAAGGTGGGCCCGCCCAATAAAACCCGGGCGGGTTTTTTCAAAGTGGGCCCACTTGGCGAACCCTGATTCTAACAATTCAATTTTAATACTCTCATTTTTGTACTATCATACATTGTAAAATGAAAAGCACAAGAAGTCAAGATTATTTAAGTGTAGAAAAATTGAAAAGTGATTTGTATAAAAATACTTATTAAATGCTTACATTGAAATGTTTTTGAGCAAACATTTATGTATGAAAAATAATACAGAAAGAAAGTCAAACATAAAGAAAAATAAAGTAAATAAAACTCTTGTTATATTTATATCTTCATAAAACTAAGTTTAACCCACTGACGGTTCTGCACGTAAAAAGTCGTAATTTGACCTGCAGTCTTCTCCGCATAGCGAAACTGGTTTTCCCATGTTATTAGATAGGGAAATAGTGTATAGGGGAGAAACATTCTCCCAATTTTGCCCATTTGCTAAACTGCCAGTGGGTTAAAGGTTGATTATTATGCTATATTGATTATTATGCAGATATCTATAAATAATAAATATAATTTTTCTAACATTAAAACACTTTTAAAAGTGATTTTCAAAGAAATTTCATCAAAATTAGATGGCGATGAAAGGGTTGAAACTAGTTACAAGAGTCAATAAATTGCTGGCAGAAAGTTTTTCATCTAAGCTAATTCTACATATAAAATACCTTTAAAAAAAGAATATCACATTCATGGAAATTTAATCAAATAACTCTTGGCAAACTAAATTATTTTAGGTCCTTAAAACTATCTTAAAAAATCCAGAAAAATCATAAAAAACAAAATTTGCAAAGAATATTTTAAGAAATCTTAAAAAAATCCCAAAATTTAAACAAATGCAAGCTACCTAATAAATATATTACTATATTTGATACAAATATATTAGTCCAATATATTAGTATATTTGAACCAGTTTTTTCATTATTATTTTTTTTTAAGAAAAACTTATAATACTTATTTTATTGAAAATGCAACTTAATAACTTGAATTATGTAACTGCAAATTCTGTGTTTTCATCTGCTTATTTGATTTATGTCACACAGGGAGTAGTATGCCTTAAATAAGTGAGAGCAATTATGAGTATTATTAGTAGTTTGGTGAGTTGCAATGAGTCAGAGCAATGAGTATTGTTAGTAGTTTAGATAAAAAGAATTATCACAAGCAGCTTAGAAAATTGTCCAGGTTAGGTTGGCATAAAAGAGAATCTAATGCTACACTTTGCAAAATATCTTTTTAATTCCACTTTTTTACTCTCATATTAGCTAAACATTTTGTTGTTTTAAGAGCCAAGAAACACATGCTAAAGTTGCATAAATTTTTCGACTGAATCAAGCTTTTAAAAACAAAAATATAACTTAATTCTTAGTTGCTGTTTTTTTGCATAATTCCCTACTATATATGATTTTATGAAAAAATAAAGTTTTTCTTCGCATATAATAACAAAAAAACTTTATTAAAAGCTAAGTATAACTATCATAGTTTTCAAAATCTTATTGTTTCACAAAACATAAGGTTATTTAACATTACTTTTTCACATAATAGATAATTTAAATAATAAATATTAATATTGAAAGCAAGAAATAATACATATCTCTAATTCTTTAACTGAACAAAGATACCTCTTTAATACACTACACATCAGTTATATGGCAACACTTTTTTTTATTATGTTTCTTTTCGATAAATTTAGATTCTCATCCAAAAAATAGCCTGTTATCTGCATTGTGTAAAAGAACAATTTAAATGGTTGGTATTTTTACATTTTGTGTAGTGGGAAGATATTAGCATGATATTTCATAGCATTTGTATTTCTGTCTTTATTTTTTCTTTTTTCTAATTAATATTAAAAGTACATTGCAGTTTCTTCCTAAGCATTTCTAGAAGGGCAGCCTGCCTGCCCTTTGATACCTATAAATGCTTTCTCTTTGCCCTTTTTATAAAAATCAGCCATTTCTTAAAATCATTGCCTTTTTATTCATATTCCATTTTTAAGAAACATTAACTAACTGTTAAAATAATAATTACACAAAAAAAATTATCTATGTTTATAGGTTTAAATCTGATTTCTATTACAAATACTTATTTTGTTAGGATTATTCTCAATTGGTTAAATTTTCTCTTTTCTCAAGAGGTATATTAATTTTATTATTATTATTATATTACAGTGATTTAAAAAAAATCACTCTTAAATGTTTCTTTTTAATAATTTTCTGCATAAATTACAGAAAAATCTTCTAAATTGTTTATCAAAAAATAATTTTTTTAGTTTACTTTTTTCAAAAATGTATGCACAGAGATTGTCTCTTAGCATGATTTTAATTATTATTTATAAACTATGAATTTTTCTCTTATTTAGAAAATGAGTGATTGATTTGATTTGTTCATTTACGTCGCACTAGAGCTGCACAATGGGCTATTGGCGACGGTCTGGGATACATCCCGGAGGATGAACCGAAGACATGCCATCACAATTTTGATCCTCTGCGGAGGGGATGGCACCCCCGCTTCGGTAGCCCGACTACCTGCAGAAAATGAGTGAAAATTGCTTTTTGAAATATACACATAAAATAGTATAAGATGGTAACTTAAAAATTGTTGAGGATCAAATTCAATTATAACATGATATAACACATTCTGGTAAATTTTTACGGTGTTAAGCGAGGGCCATTTTAAACTCATAGTGCCCTTTAATGTGAGGAAGCACCCTACCCTTTTTCTTTCCTAGCAAGAACTCTGATATTGCATCTAAAATTCAGTGATACAAATCTGACAGTGGTTTGCACTGTAAGTTGCAAAATTTTTGTTGCATTATGCACACATAAATTTAAGTGTTTTAGGAAAAATTACACTTCTGAAACCTCAAAAGTTACAGCACAAAGAAACTATAGCTCCGAAATTTATAAACAATAACCTAACATTAATCTATCAGTATGCAAAATGCATTAAGACTGTGACAAATTTATTTCATCAACAGTCTGTTCCACTGTGAAGATAGGCATTAATAACTAATATTACAAGTGAAGCTTAATCTGAAATCACTTAAATATGTTTTCGAAACATTCCACCAAAAATTTCAATCTGTGTAATATTTTTTTCAGGTATAATATAATTATAATATTGAAGCTTGTAAACTTTTTACAAAGAACAATACCTGTTGGTGTAGTAATAGAACATCTTTTATAAGGCAGTTGATTTAAACCTTCTTCAACAACAAGTCTAATCTAAAAAAGAAGTTTAATCTGATAAATAATTTTTATCACATTTATTTAAATTACACAACGATTATAGATTATTCTCACAAATAAACCTTTCAGAGTCTAATAGTATCATTAGAATTTCAGTAACTTTTTCATGAAGATAAAAAATTTCTATGACAGCCATTTTAAAGAAAAGTTACAACTCAGTTGTTAAGAACATATGGCACTATTTTAACACTAGATTGCCCAAGGAAGTAATTTGACTGCCTTTTAATTTCAATTAGAAAAACAATGATGTATATAATGACACAATTTCTTAGATTTTTGTGACTTTCTGTACAACGTATAATTTTTTTTATTGTTAATATTTACTAATAACTTGTTATATAACTGTAAATAATATAAAAAGTTAATTTTAAACGAATTTCTTTACACATTAGTTATTCTTTCACAATCTAGTCATTTTGACTGCTTTTAGGCAATATAGTTACACGCTAAGTTTCAGTTTTTCTATCGTTAAATGGTGACAATGACTAATGAAAAGTAATTTTTTCATCAAGATAAAAACTCTCTCTCTATGACAGGCACTTTAAATAAAGGTTTTAACTCAGTTACAAAGAGCATGGCACTATTTTAAATGGTGACAAGGACTAATGTTAAGTTATTTTTTCATCAAGATAAAAACTCTCTATGACAGCCATTTTAAATAAAGGTTACAACTCAGTTAGGAAGAGCATGGCACTATTTTAAATAGTAACAGTAACTAATGTAAAACTCTACTTACTTATCTCATAAAAATGGCTATGTAATGCAATTATTTGAATTTTTTTTTTAAATTTCAACTGTATCATTACAATTTTAAGATACTTTTTCAAATAAATCATTTTTGATTGCCCCTTTTAGAGAAATTTACAACTCAATGCAAAGAGTGTGGCACCGTTTTAAAGATGGATATGTGTATAAATTATCTTGTCAAACAAATATAGATTCCATGATGCAAATTGTCTTCATACATTTTTTGCTAGTAGCATTATTGTATTTTTGATCACCTTCTTACCAAAATAAAAACATTTTTTTGACTGTTGTCATCATAAAAGTTATAATTTCAATACAAGTTATAATCCATTGTCTCATAGCAATTTCAATTTCTTTTTTGCTAAATTGAAAAAGAAAAAAAACTTTTCCTAAAAACTTATATCTTAAAAGTGTGAGATACATTTTTTAAAATAGACAAGAGTTAACATATAATTTTAATTCATATAATACAAAATATATCTTTTTTTTTTTAAATGTATGCATTTTCTTAGCACATTTTTGTGCAAAGAGAACTCATTTTTAAAGAAAAGCTGTTTTCTTTATCTAGACTAGTACTTTAGCAATCCACACATCCATTGGTACCCTGTCTATCACACCCAAAGGGTCTGGACTTTGGCTAACTCCATATTTATCATTATTGTTCTACATAACAGCCCAAGGGGGGTCTTGGCATTTTCTAGAACATTTTTCCATGTCGTTCTTCTTGTTGTCAAGTCTTTCCAGTTCAATACCCTGATTGTTTTAGAATCAGTAATAATATAGTACAGCCTCAAAAGTTACGACTCAAAAATACTGAATTCATTTTAACCATTTTTTTATTATGGTGAAAAATAAGTAATTTTGTATACAAATACAACTGTGCTTACCAAACGATCAGCATAGAAAACAAAATCACTTCTATTCGTATTCCTGGAAAAATTTTAAAATTAATTAACAAAATTATGAATAATAAAATGGATATAATCATGAATAATATGCACCTTGAAAAACTTCAATAAAACTTTAGGTATTTCATAAGAAAACAACTTTAGATTCCAAATATTTTGTTTTATATCATAAAGGGAAAAAAAATTAGCATTAAAAAGTTTGAAGAAAAATTTATTTATACTTTTTTAAATATGTTTGAAACAAATTTATCTTATACCAGAAGTTTGAAACAAATATATCTTTAGGAAGCTATTTACAATTTTTTCGACCTTTTCATAAGGTTTTTCAAATTACTTATTTTTAATACGATTCCAAATATTTTGTTTCATATCATAAAGGGAAAAAAAATTAGTATAAAAAAGTTCGAAGAAAAATTTATTTATACTTTTTTAAATATTCACACCACAAGTTTGAAACAAATATATCTTTAGGAAGCTATTTATAATTTTTTTGACCTTTTCATAAAGTTTTTCAAATTACTTATTTTTAATATGATTCCAAATAATTTGTTTCATATCATAAAGGGAAAAAAAATTAGTATAGAAAAGTTTGAAGAAAAATTTATTTATACTTTTTTAAATATTCACACCAGAAGTTTGAAACAAATATATCTTTAGGAAGCTATTTATAATTTTTTCGACTTTTTCATAAGGTTTTTCAAATTACTTATTTTCAATATGACGTTCTTACGATGTGTGAATTAGCAGGGGTCTGTCTACGTTTTTATGAGAGGTACCTATTTTGTGACAATTTAGACATAATTTGTGAAAATTAAAAATTACATTAAGAAATCAACACAAAAATATAGATTTATCGCTTCTTACGGGATAAAAAATAAAATTTTAAGAAAAAGTATTTTGTGACACTACCGTTTTTTCTGAAGTTGAATTCGTGAAGGTACTGCTAAACGTTACTAAATTTGGCCTGGACCAGGGGCCCCCATCAGGGAGGAAGGTGGGCGCATTAAAGCTTGGGGGGAAATTTTTACACTAAATAAAACAAATAGTTTTGGGGGGGAATTTAGCCGAGAGAATTGTTATTTTATTTTTTTAAGCACATTAATAAAAGAAGCAACGTAGCACTATTTCGAACAAGCTAACATGGAAGGGGGAAGTTAGCAAATTTTTCTTTGGGAGGGGGCAAATTTTTTTTGGGTGCATTCATCAATTGTTAAGCAAATTGATGAATGCGCCCAAGAGCTTGGGGGGGATGGGGGCCACTGGCCTGGACAGGCCCCTAATTAGGAATCACGTACTAATCACTTTTTGACGTGTTCGATTCATGACAATTCCATCACAATTTCTTGTTGTGTTATGAGCAGTTTTTCTGCAATTATTTATTACTTTAACATAGGGGTGCACAACCTTTTTCAGTGAAGGGCCACATGCACAGCAGATTGACCAATGAAGGGCCGCATGCCAAAGTGTTTAGACCGANCTCACATGGTTTTTAAAAGTCAAAAATTTTTAATATGATATTATGATGTTCGACTCTTGTTGATTCCATTGTAGTATCACTTGTCGGATGATATTGGGTCATTCAGAAAGTTAGAGTATTATATAATACTAGATGATGTGTGTATGAGCAGGAACTTTCGGGACAACCCAATAGTTTTCTTGGTAGTTATTTATCCTCTTTTAGGCTTTTGGCACATGGTTTTTTTATGCTTTTCTGATATTTTTACAACATTTATTACAGTATGCAAATTTGGAATTTGAGTTATCACTTTTTGAGATGTTTGATTTATGACCATTCCATCATAATTGACGTCCTTTAGTGATAGTTTTTAACGGCTATCATTATATGAATATGTGTCATTTGAATATGTCATATGAATATGTGTCATTGAATTTGTCAATACATTATATGTATTGACAAATTCAATTGATTATACTTTAAATAACCACTACATTTTAAAAGTTAAAACACACATATAAAGGGCTGGCTAGTAATCTTACTGTGATTTAAGTGGAAGAGAAGAGTGAATGAAGTATCTGCTAACAACATCACTTTAATACATATTTGACTACCACTGGGAAAAGAGTTTTTTTGAAGTCCCTAATCGTTGGTAGGTACAATATTAGAACTTAAAAAGAACAACACTCTCAAAACATATCCCTATGTTTAGAACTAAATTTTGGTGAAATCAATCCAATAGATTTCTACCCTTCTTTCAACAGTGAAACACTAATTAAGTATTTCATTGTTGCCTAAATACAAAGTGTTTTTCGTTTGCCAACTACCTGAAATAATAATTTTCATTAAGTCCTAAATAACTTTTAATGAAAAATGCTAAACAAAATAAATAACATTGTCCATTTATCATACAATATTATATCACTTACTTATCTCGAATAACAGTTTGAAGTTCTCTGACTTGATCATTTATAAGAATAATCTTAAAGTTAGGCCCGAATGCATCAGTTTTAATATCAGAATTAACATTTGCCTGATTGCAAGGTTTTAATACATCAGGCATTTCTACCTGCATATTATTTAAATTTATAATACGCAAACGGAAGAAGCATATATATGAGACAATAAAAAATTTAAGGATAAAATAATTTTTTGCTAATTCAACTTAGAATGAAAACTAAAATATAAACAGAAAACCATATGTAAACAGGAATTTCATAATAACTACGGTTAGCGTTAATATGGTTTTCGGTTAATTATTTAATCATTAGAAAAATGCCATGGTATCCAAGCTTTAAATGAACGTTTCTACTGCATGCAATTGAATACTGGTTAGTTTTCGCAGAAAAATATATTTCTTCAATCAGGTTCAATCTTCAATCATTAAGACACGGTTCCTAGCAGATCACCGAAGTCAAGCATCACTGGCTGCAGTCAGTGTGCGGGTGGGTGACCACTTGGATTAGTCTGCGTAGGAACCGAGGGTGTGCTGTATGGGTCTTCGTTAAACTCTTCTACCGTAAAGTGCTCGACTTCGCTAACAGGTCGTCGGGCTACCACAGCGGAGGCGCCATCCCTTCTACGGAGGATCAAAATTGTGATGGCATGTCTTCGGATCATCCTCATGGATGTTTCCCAGACCGTCGCCAATAGCCCATTGTGTAGCTCTAGTGCGACGTAAATAAACAAATCAAAATCAATCAATCAGGTTCTCATTCTCTCTAGACGGTGATCGGCTGTGCATGTATCGCATGCAATGAGAATACATGAGATACGAAAAGCATCCTCAGAAATCTAAAAAGCTGATAACAAAGTCATTTTTTTACGGACAATTTTTGTCAAAATTCTATATTCTTTCTCGTTTAAAAAAAAAAACTAATTTCTTCATTTCTATGAAATTTAACATACCAACGGTGCAAAAAAAATTTTTTCTCAGGTTTTGCTTCCAAGAAAATACTTAAATACAAAAATAATCGTGTATGCTGCCCTTTTTTTTCGTGTTCTTTTGTATTTTGTGAATATAATTTAGCATGTGCATATCGGAAATTTTATCGAAAAAATTCTCCGATTTAACGTTTTGAAACCACTCATTTTGGGCGAAATTATTTAGATCTGTAAATTTTAAATGTAAGTATCTATTCTTTGGTGGTTGCAGCAGACAAACCTCAATTCTTTCATTGAACAATTTGTGTGCTAATAAGTAAGTTTTAATACCAACCTTTTTAAAGTTTTATATCTTAACAATGAGATATCTGTTGCACATTAAAGTTATTGTAGCCAGAATTTTTTAATATGCAATTAAATATTTTCAAAAATCTACTTCTTATTTTAATTTGTAATTCAATACTTTTGTTTTGCACAACTAGATAAAAATCTGACAGTAATATTTAATGTTCCTTCAAACATAGAAAAGTCCTATATAAAATTTTGATAAAGTGGCGGCCTGCCATTTGGCTGGTGTTTTGAATTGTGGCCCCCGGCCTCATGTAAGTTGGAAACCCCTGATTTAGCGCAATGCCAAGCAGTGTGACCATCAATGCTACTCAATCTATCATAGAAAGCCCCAATCCACATTGTGGTTGGGTTTCCTGCGAAGTTCGGTGAGCGAACTCGCTAATAGAAATGATCCTATAAATCTTAACTTGCTGAATTCGTTTTATTAAGTCTAAAATGACATTCAAAATATTATAATTAAATAAAAAAATATGCAACTGAAACTCGAATATCAAAATTCTTTAGTACTCTTTCTATTTGGAATACGAAAGTATTGGGTTAAACGGCTTTACAAGCAGAAAACGGCCACAGCCAAATGAGCCTTAATTTTTCTAATACTTCTGTTTCAAGTAAAACCACTCAGAACGAGCTTTTTCCATCTATTTGGCGCAATGCCAAACAGTGCGATCATCAATGTTGTTCAAACCATTTAGGATCGAAGCAACCGCTTCACGCTCAGGAGAAAGCCCCATTCCACATCATCGTGGTTGGGTTTTCTGCGAAGTTCGGTGAGTGAACTCGCTAATCATACTATAGAAATGATCCTATGAAGTATGATCTTAACTTGCTTTCGATTTTGGTAATACTAATACTTAAAATTCAGTAATAATTGTTGGTAATTGTTATTCTCCGAAACTTTCTTTAATTTCATTTCAGTCTTCATGTTTGTGCAGGCTTTGTAAATGATCTTTAATCTTTAGCATTAAGACAAAACATAATTTTAACATAAAACAATTCATGAATTAATTACTCTGCATTTTTTAAAATTTCTTTTGAGACTGGTCAGAATGGTAATTGACTCACGTTCAAAGACGTTTCTTTGAATCTGACAGTAGGCGTTATTGCTTGATCATACATACTTTAAGAAAATAGGAAAGACACATTGCCATAAATATACTGCAATGTAAAGTAACGCCTACTTTCTATTCGAAATTTGTCACGGGGTATGGTTGAGTCCTAAATAAAAATTGTGGAGTAACTAGCGAGGGGCAAGAGGGGACATCTGCCCTCTGGTACAGTCTTGGAAAAGAGCCTAAATTCATGAAAAATTATTTAAAATGAATCATAAGGTAAAATACTTTTCTCTTTCAAATATCTATAGTCTTACTTGCTTAATTGTGAGCCACATAGATTGAAATTTTCATTCGATTTACTAGAAAATTGCACACTACACTTAATACTGTCATTTGTTTCGCACATGGGCTTTTTATTATTTGTAATGGACAAGCAATATGTTGAATAAAAGATAACTTTAGAAAAAGCTTGTATCATCCATCAAAAACAAAAAAAGATCGATAGATGTTTATAAGGGCACTAGAAACTACATCACGAACACACACCGTTAAATTTTAAACCGAATCTAGTGAAAATTTATGAAGTTATTGAGTTCCGTTGTCTTCAAAATCAATATATAAAGTCATAGAAACTTATTCAATGTAAAATTGAAAAAAAAAAGATGCGATTGATTTAAATTTTTATATTATCTAAAACTTAAAATAGTTTCGAAAAGCCCATTTTTAAGCCTTACAACATGAAAGGGTGCAAAAGCTGAGTTTGTTTCCGAGCACTGTAAACCCAAACTACGCCTCTGAGTATAACAGAACTCGAAGTAAATTAAATTTCATTTTCCTGAAATACTCAGAACGAGCTTTTTCCATCCATTTAGCGGAATGTCAAACAGATCTTCAATATTGCTCAATCTATCATAGAAAGAAACAACTGCTTCACGCTTAGAAGAAAACCCGATTCCACATATTCGCGGTTAGGTTTTCTGCGAAGTTCGGTGAGTGAACTCATTAATCATACTATTGAATTGATCCTATGAAGTATGATCCTAAACAAATTCCCACGTTCGTACAACTTATTTGCATAAATTTGAAGTGTTGAGTGGCATTGTTAATTTCTCTTTTATAAAAATATCTGTCCCGCAGTGGACTGATCGTTAAGACACGGTTCCCAGCAGATCACCGAAGTCAAGCATCACTGGCTGCGGTCAGTGTGCGGGTGGGTGACCACTTGGATCAGTCTGCGTAGGGACCGAGGGTGTGCGGTATTGGTCCTCTTTAAACTGTGCTACCGTAAAGTGCTCGACTTCGCGTGCAGGTCGTCGGGCTACTGAAAGCGGGGGTGCCACTGCCATCCCCTCCGCAGAGGATCAAAATTGTGATGGCATGTCTTCGGATCATCCTCCGGGATGCTTCCCAGACCGTCGCCAATAGCCCATTGTGCAGCTCTAATGCGACGTAAATTAACAACAACAACATATAAAAATATCTCTTTTATTATTTGTAAAGCTTACAAATACGTATAAAGAGTAAAGTAACGCCTACAAATGTGTATACAGTGGAAAGTAACGCCTACTTTTTATGCAAAGCTTCTCACAACAGTGTGAAATGTCACTGCACGTACAAAATAACTCAGGGAAAACGTTTTATATCAGTACGTGCAATGCGTATACAGTGTACAATGTGTACTTGTCAATGTATGCATACACAATACGTATAAAGTGAAAAGTCCCACTTTCTATCCAAGGTTTTTCACAACAATATGAAATGTTCACTTAACTTACATATTAACACTTTCTTTTATTCTTATTTTCAATGAGATACAAATACTTTATCTTACCTGATTCGGATGTAAGGATTTTAAATATTATAGTTTTGTTCAGAAAGCTACGAAGATTTTTCAATATATTTTTGGTTTAGTTATTTTTCCTTGAATGCACAAGTTTTTTTAACAAACGTATATTTCTATATATATTAATATCCGTATATTTTGTTACCGACGTTGAGCAGCCGACCCAATTCTGTGTTTATAACTATCTTGTTATTTTAATTGATCTAGAACCGACATAATCCAGGTTTGTAATTTTGAACAGGCCTTGTAACTGTGAACCTAATCTGGAGACAAAGGAGATGACGGAGGAAGCATTGGGAGAGACTTGTTTTCGTGCTTTTTGACAGAACTAACGTGCATTTAGGTTACATGAAGAGAAAAATAATAAAAACCGCTCATGGTTAGTTCGACGGCAAGAGGACTTTAACCCATGATCTAGTGATGAGGAATTTTATTGTCAGCACTACGATTAGCGCGAGCCGGAATCAGAATTCCTATCGATCAGCCAATGCTGGAATTCGTACTTGGGAAACGTCATTTGGAGACGAGTGCTCTGTCCTCGGAGCTGCCATGGCTTATACATTTCCCTACTCCTTTGAAAATAACACTTAAGGCAAAAAACACATGAATTTAACTTATTGCACTATAAACTGAGGTGTATTAACGATTTGTTCTCACTATTCTCTTCGCGGCAGAGAAGTGGAGAGATACTAAGTAGTTAATTGAGTGAATTTCAAAAAAAATTCTTGTTTGGAACATATAATTCAATATGCATAAAAACTGTAGCAATCAGTGAGAAACCGATTACAGCTCTGAAATCAACGATGTGAAAGAAAGATCACATGCAAAAGAAGAAAGAAAATTGTTCTTTAGCATAATTGTAGACATAACATCGGGGTAACGGAACAGAAATATGCCCTTTCTCCTGTTATACAAAAAAAAAAAAAAAAAAAAAAAAAAAAAAAAAAAAATTATAATTTGCTATTAAAAAAAATTTGCATTGCATTTAATTCAAATATAAATTGTTCTCAAACCACAACGCCTGGTTATTGGTACTCATCCTTTTTTGAATTAGTGCCCGATTCTTAAGTCAGAAAATTTCATCACCCCTTTACAAGAAAGCAATAAAAAAATAATATGTTTTTTTTTTTTTTCGTTTTTAAGTTTTTTTTTTTGTTGTTGTTATGATACAACAAAACATTAAATTCTTGAAAAGTATACCTAATGACCAAAGTAATTTCTCATTGATTTTTTTTCCGTCTTAATTATGAAGAAAACAACTCATGTGTAAAATTATCTGAAGGAATAAAAGGATAATCTCTATATTATTAGCATATCATATATTCGTTGTATCTTAATTTAAATTAAATGTTATTTTTCATATATATTATAAAAAATTTGAAATAAGTTATTGTTGTCATTACGGTCTGCAATGATTGAATGAGAATTTGAACACATAAACCATTTATCTGACATCATTTGTGTTATTTACGTTGTTTTTACTTCATTTATGTCTCCTATGTCATCATAATGTCCCCTGGCATTAGTAATCAAAGCTAAGTAGTTACAAGGACAGTTATTTTAGACAAGTTAACGTTTCCGTCCTACACGAAATTGTTTGAAATTGCATTTTTCATTTATTGATTCTGAAATTTATTCTAGATTATACTTTAGGCGTACTTCGAAAGAATTTATTTTTACAACCTTATTTGCTAATATTATTAAATAATTTTCTTCAAATAATGCATTTATTGTACAATAGTAAACGGGTTTTCCAACGTGTATCCTTATCCTTGATATCGATATCAATAAATTAATGAAATAAGCTTATTCATTCAAATAGATTTCAATTCTGGAAACTACGAAATTATTGAGAGGGTTCCTTGGAGTAATATTATTTTTATCCTCTTATGACGAAATATAGGAAAACTTTATATTCATAGTTTCAGTAAAAAAGTATGCTGATCCTCTTATTTTATATCAGAATAGATTCAAAAATTGCGTATGTTATTAGTTACCGATTTCAAATCAAATGATCATTATAAAAATAACATGGCTTTGGAATTTTTTTGCAAACTTCAAGTTTTAGTCTTTTCTTCTTATCAAAATAAGGCATTTTTCTGTAAAAAAGTTATAATATCGTCTTGTAAATTGTGCTAAAGTTGAAAAACAATCTTAATAATCTTAAGTAAATTTTTTCAACATCTTGTTTTTAAAAGAGCAGTTATCTTAAAGCTAACGGTGTAGCAAGATTGAACGTCAAAATAAAAATGCTGTTCAAATTTGTTCATTTAAAAAGCAAAGCAAACAGTTAGGGTTTTATGAGTTGCAATAATATGTATTCACTTTTCACAAATCAAACAAATAAAAAGCAATGAAGTAAATAAATATGTAATTTGTTTGCTCATTTTTAGAAAAGAAGGGTGCACTTATTTAATGCAATCAGTCAGATGTTTTGCGCAAAGTAATTTTATTATAGCAAAATGTTCTTAAATTCTTATCAGCCAACTGGCTATAGTTCTGAGACTCGAAAAAAAAAGAAAAACTTGACAATTATTTGAAACGAGTGTTAATTTAAAGAAAAACTTTCAGTACTAATAAAAATTAAACAAAATTGATAAGTATATTATCCGGGGGGGGNGGGGGGGGGGAATCTGCGGGACAGCATAAAGAGAGAGAAGAAAATCTAATGAAATAATTGATTGAATAGTTCTGTGAATAACACTAGTGGTTGGTAATTAAAAATAAAATTTTAAAATTACGATGTTAGGACGATATATAAGATACTGCGATATTTTAAGACGCTTAAAAAATTTGGCTACGTATTTGATAGCTCTTCATATTCTGCATCCTTATACGCTTTGCAGTGTCTTTTAAAACAGCAACAATATTAAAGATAATGGTCGGTGATTTCACAAGAGTTTGGTTTAACACGATAGAAAGATTCCTTTTGTATAACTTATAACTTTGTTTATACTTTTATTGTTTAATCATTAAAATATATGTAGAATAATTCATAAATATATTATTCCTAATAAATGCCTACTTATGCACATTGCTGAAACTGAATCAATTGTGGAATGAATCATTTAAAAAAAACTCCAGATGCATAGCCACTTTGAATCAAAACTTTCAGTGCCAGCAAATGATATTTTTTAAAAATATTTAATTCAAATTTTCTCAGTTTCTAATTAATAAAAACAATCGAAACTTTAGACTTCACTATAGAAAAATACGTAGATTAATAAGGTATAAGAGATTTATAGCTCATAATTCAAAATTCTTTCGTCCAGTTATAAATTAACTATTCAGTATAATGCTCCTTCTGAAGCGATGAATATAATCCTAGTCTAGCTTAATAACAAATATTACTTTCAGTTTATATTGTGTTAGAAATGAATTGAGTTTTATTAAAGTGATTTCAAATGTAAATCCTATTGAACGGGCAGCTGATAGACGAGCCCTTTTATAACTAGGCTTTCAATGTCTTGGGCAAAGAATACGTATAAGGTAACTTCCATAGACAAAATGAAAACCACTTAAAATAATAAGAAAATTTCATTCTCTATATTAAATATTTTAAGAATAAAACGAATTTTCTTTATAACTTACTGTTCTGATCTACAGTAACTAATGTTCAACTTAAGTATCGTTAAAAGGTCAACTATAAAGAAAATCGGAACCAGCTATACCTAGACCTACTCCACAAATGTTTATGGATCCCATTGTTATATATGAAAGGAACCGAATCAACTTTAAGAATATCATGTTTTCATTATAGGGACAGCGCGAACGCAGTCCCAACTACCAAAAATTATGCACCCCAAGCAACCACAATTTGTGGATGTGGCGAACGTCAACCAATCTAAGTGCAATGAAAGGTCTCTGCTCGGGGGAGCCTCCTTGTTGATCAAGGCATCCCCAGTGCCAGGTAAGTATGCTTCATTAGCAAAACAGAAAAAACTTCATACTAAATAATTTTCTTTCATCCTGGTAGTTTTAAATTTTACTTATATGCAATATATATTCTCATTGTGTATTACATACAATGAAGCTGCACCCATATTTGCGATAATTTTCATACTCAAAAGTCTTCCTTGATAACGCAGCAAATATGAAGCTATCTCGCGTAAAGGATCACTGATTCGTATTCAACACGATTATTACTTTGCACATATAAATTTCTTTTGTTTTTTATTTAGTGTCAATTTAAATTTCTT